CACATTAAACACACCGATTGATATGCCGACAACCCTGAAAAACAAAAACGGAAAAAAAAATCTTGGAACTCCCCCCCCCCCCCCCCCCAAGAAAAAAACCCCCGCGCCCGGGGGTCCCCCCCCCCCCCCCACCCCCACACCTTTTGTATGCAATTATAAGGGAAAATTATAGAGAGCTCCCATCCCCGCCGGCCGGGAATTTTGATCCTCCGTCGTACAATCCAACTCAAATTCCGTACTGCCTCCTACATACAGCAGGGTGTGAGACTAATAATAATCAATCCAAACGTGATGTTGAGTCTGTGTATTAAGCGATATGGCACTTTAAATACACGCTCTCATTATCTGGCTTTGAAACCGAATAAAAGAACTATTGCTGGAAAGAAAAGGTTTCACCTTAACCAGTCGATTCTTTCTTAGCGGACACCCCTATAAAACGGACACCTAGAGTTGGTCCCTTCTTTCTTTACTCCCTTTAATTGACTCTCTATAAGACGGACACATCTGTAAAAAGGGCACCTAGAGTTGGTCCCTGCCATTTTTACTCCCTTTATTTGACTCTCTATAAGACGGAAATCTCTCTAAAACGGACCCTTAGAGTTTGTCCCTGTCTTTCTTTACTCCCTTTATTTGACGCTCTATTAGACGGACATCTCTCTAAAACGGACCCTAAGTACCGGTTCCAAAGTTGTCCGTGTTAGAGAGAGCTGACTATAGTGGAACAAACCTTTGAGCGGGCGCGAGCATCAACATTCCACAATTTCGTTTTGCGGCTTCGTTTGTCCATCCCGATTACAGTATTTGTTTGAAACCGTCAGCTTGAGTTGTTCAGGTTCTCCGTCCTCCTTTAGCACCACCCAACCAGTCCATTGACAATAATATGGGATTGACTTAGCTCCGTTAATGCACTGAGAACAAACCAGAATAGAACTGAATGTTTGTATATAAGATCAACTCATTAAACCTTTCGCCCCATGTAAGGCTAGGGATCCAGATTCCGGAATTCGGGAAACATTTCTCGTGGAATCCAGGGTCTTGGGCTTTGGAATCAGGAATACAGCACAAGGAATCCGAAATCTCACTAGCGATTGTAATTCGGAATCCAAGTTCCACTGCGAGAGAATCCGATATTCAGTAACTGGAATCAGAAATCCACGGCGTGCGGTGGATTCCAGAATCCCAGACTGTATTGGATTTCCTTGCAAGAGGCGATACCTTCCGTAGTAGTTAACGTTGCAAGTATGACTGTGGAATATTGTTGTCTATCTGTTAATTTTGGCTAACACTCTACAACCTTCGTAGCACAATAGCTGGATTAATGTCGTGAGACTTGCTCATTCCAAGGATGCTATTGATGTTTTTCGGTTGAGTTGAAAAATGCGGGACGAGTCCAACTGCCAGCTAATCAGATTAATACTTTTCCTTGCAGTGATTCTGCCGCCAAAATGCTCTCCCTGACGCATACACTCCTATCCTACCAGCTATGAAGGCTAAGAATTCGATCTAGAAATTGCTGTTCATGCTTTTAAATATTATCCTGTAACTTCTGCATATGCGGTATGATGTCGATGGTTCTAAAATTGCGACACAGTCCTTGGGCAAGATCGTTCGCGATTATTAAAGGGAGTACCATCCACTACGGAGAGGGTTGCTGGAGTCAAGTTACTATGTTAATTAAAAGCATACATAGGAAAATACCTCTTGCTTGTCCCCGCTTCCATGTCGGTACTTCACAAAGGGTGGTTCGAACTCATCGTCATGGAGAACTGTAGCTGTGTGATAATTCGAACAACAAAAAATTTTTGTTCTTATGCTTGGTTGTATAGGAAGACTCAGGTGAGGTGACAGGAGAAGGCAAAAGTACACGGAAAGGACAAATGCATTTTTCGGGCTCAATTTTTAACCTCGTTCCCAGGGTTCTCTCCTATTGTTCCCCTTGTCTGTAAGCGCGATTTATCGTATTCAATTTTGTCCTAGATATTTTGAGAACTTATTTCACGAGCCAGGAATGGATAACGGAGAGTCTACAACACAAATTTCAGTAACCAAGGATAGCAAGGAGGCAGAGGTTCTATGTTTATTGCAGACATATTGAGACGAGTCTAATGTTAGACCCAGTACCCCTAGCACATATGCTAAAAAAACTATTAGCCTGCTTAGCTGGAAGGATCGCGTAGCGAGAGTAAAGTTCTGACAGAGAAGCCGAAAAACCGTGCAGATAAGGGGAAAGTGACGGAGCTAGTTTCTCGCGGCAAAAGCCGCGCGAGAATGGCAGCTTCAGTGCCGCCAAACAACTCTCACACGAGCAAAAGCTAATCTGCCAGCTACGCGGGCAAAAAATTGTAGGCTGACTGACCTTCGTCCATCATGATTCTATCCAACAACCAGGCAGTATCCCTGTAAACATCTGGGTTATCTGGCGGATAAAAAAAGAGACCAGTCAACTCTCGCCGTACAGACAGCCGCGAAACTCCCTTTAAAATGAATTACAACCTCTCGCACTTAAGGGCACCGTAGCGTTCCCCGAAAGGAACGAAAGTGTCTGAAATAAAAGTAAATTGACTGTAGCTCTAGTCGGGTAGGAGCATTGCGTGACGACACTAAAAACGGTTGTGTACCAGACTACTGTAGCTGAAACTTGAGAAGTATTGGAGGAAAAATAGTGCAGTATCTTGCGCCAGTTAATATTTCTGAAACATTTCTTCAGTGTAGCCTGTTTATACGCGCCGGGGACTGCTGCGTAGATTAATTAGGCTGATTATTATACATTGTACTCACTAACTGTCTTCTCATTGGCTAAGAGTCTGCAGCTAATTTTGGAAATCAGTGCAACCTGCAGATTAGTTTGTTATCTGCTATCATATAACTGACCTCTTTATTATAGGAAATTAACGCTCCATGAAATTAATGCGAATCGTTAAAATTCGCGTTAATTTAAGTCGCGTTAATTTTATTGAGCGTTAATTTCCGCGACGTTAATTAAGTGCAGCGTTAATTTGCGCGCTCTTAACTTCCAGTATTTTAACCCCAATTTTGGAACCTGTCCAAACATTCTTGACACCTAAAAAACATTAACTACAAGCTTTCTTTCTTTCCATTTACCCTTTATTTTTCATCTTTCACAAAAGCTAAGGCGAAGGTTTACAATATTTCGAGTTCATCTTCATCGTTGTCGCTGTCAGAAGAGATGTCAATATCTTCTCTCACTTCTCCTTTGATTTCGGCCAAGTTAATCGCGTTAATTCCCTTCATTATGAAATTCTACCTCCTCTTTCGCGTTAATTTTCTTTATTCTTAAGTCGTTTGCCATTAAATTCGCGTTAATTAAAGTTGCGTTAATTTCCAATACCTTAATTTCATGGAGAGTTAATTTCCTATAATAAGGGGTAATCGGTAGGTTGCTCAAGAAATGCATGATTTCCAATAACAATATCAATACAGTTTCCTTGCGACGGCCGGTGTTTGTGGTTATTTTCTTCAAAACAATGTATAATAAATTGTTAGATTCAGCTTTTGTGATATCCTGAATAAACAAGGTCTCGGAAAGTATTATCAGCCTCGGCTTACGGGCCGGCTGATAAGACTTACCTCGACCTTGCCTTATTCCGGATATCACAAAAACCTTATCCAATAATTGTTTAGAGGTAATATAATGAGGCCATGGAGGATTCAGATCGGCTAGAAGTGCAAAGTATTCGAATTGTCCAAAGAATATTTTGAGACCGAAGACTGTAGATCCAACAGAAAGGTGGATTTCTACTGTCGCATAATTTTTTTTAAGTGCGTATACGCGCGTAAATGAATTAGAAGCAATGCATGCAAGGCCGCGCTAAAAGTAGAAAAAATCGCTCGACTGTCACGTTTACGCGCTGTCTTCCATACATCTATTTACGCATGTAAAACACAATTACGCAGCAGTGGAAATCCACCCTTAGAGAGATCTTGAGAGCCACACTCATCATCGGAAACTTAATTTGATTAAGAACGTTACAGCTTTAAAAATTCATTTTTAGGATCCTGGGTAGATCAACACCATAATTTAAGCAGTTTTTTTGGCGCGCGGTTCCCTCGACGGCTTTTTTAATTTAGGCGCTTAGAACCTTCAGGTGCTCGAGGCGTAAAATATATTCAACTGATCACTTTTGAAACGGTTATTAGCCTTGTAATGATCATAATTTATGCATACAATAAGAAGTCAAATTGGAGGGCATTCAGTATTCATAATGCAGAACGCTAAGACCACTTAGGAAGACCCATCTGAAGCTCTGGGTTTAATTTCCTGGCCTTCAAGTGCCGGAGATGGTGCTACTGAAGGTGTTAGGATTAGACTTGGGGTTCTAGGACCTCTGGTGAAGTTACCGCGGTATGACCTCCAAAACTAAAGCATTCCGGCAGTTGGTGATTGTCGATAACACCGAATACATCAAATTTAAATTTTCAAAAATCTTCTGCTGGAACGATTCACATTGCCAAAGACCGGGAGAAACTGGAGGAGAATTCTTGTATTTCCCTCAGAAAGATGACATACGAACATTGTCATGACTTAGCTAGGTCATCTAAGAGCGTTATGGATCTGAGAGCCTCAATGTTTTCCTTTAGTTTCGAAACTGACCTTCATATTCCGGAATTATTCCTCTCTCCCACAGCATACTCGGCTTTCCCTCAGCATATTTGCGTCGCCCTGAAAAAAAAATAGCCCCTCAAACTATGTGGGAAACTAATCAATTTTCGGAGTTACTGTCACTAAAATATCTTATAGTATCACTCAAATGACACTTAAAGGCACTCAAATGTTGTACCATTTCAATACTGACCATTGGCCGAGTAGGCGTTCACTGCAGCAAGCATACAAATCACGACGAAAACTAGCTTGGACATACTTCTGGAGGTGTTCTCACAATCAATAGTTTCAAGGACCTACTCAGTTTCTCTCAAGGCACGAATGATCCAATTTATAATGCGTAGAGGTATATAGAAAAGCGCAAAATTCAAATCAGAGTCGATTTACCGCCATTGTCTAGAGTTCGATGATTGGCTATCCTGCGTAGCTGGAGACGGATTAGCGGGAAAGTGTTAATATTGTAGTCCTGCCTCCCTGATGCTGGCTACTGATTGGCTAAGCCGACCATGGCTTATGGCAGTCATTGAACAGTTTAGTAAATAATACATTAAGGATTATGAAAAAAGGCGCAAAAGATTCTTTGAAAGAATCCAAAAGCTTTTGTTAGTCTGAAGGGGTTCAAGCGTATACTAAGCGCGCTCAATAGAAAGTATCATTATTCTACAACGTATTTTAAAAGAAAGCCTTAATTACATCAGAGAACATAACATATCTAAAAGCAAGAAGCGGTCCTTTTCATGCCAGCTATATCTAATATATATATTTCTCTAGGAGTCTAATCTACTCATAAGTCTCAAGTTTGTACGAATACTCTTACCTAGCTTACGTCTTTTTGCTCAGCAAATAAACCCTTTGCCGACAGGCCATTTCAAATGCGAAAAAACCTCAGACATATTTTTTACCAAATCCTCCTTGGGCCTCAGTTTCGATCAATTTGCATGGGGATTGCTAAAAATGGCTAGCACTAGATTAATCCGGGCATATCCCTGCTAATCACAGTTTTTTCGCCCTTGTGCGTAAGCAAAAATTTGGACTTGCTTTTTTTTGCGATTCTATTTCGATCTTTCTACTTTTGCATTCCTTTCATAGCCAGTTTTGTTGCCCTCCTTATCGCACCTTATCGCATGGCAGTTTGGCTGTGAACCTTTCCAGGAAATGACAAATTCAATCTGCAAAGAGTGGTAGGTAAAAAGCAAAATTGTCAGTGGATTTTTCCTCAAAATGTCGCTATTTTGCGTCTAATTTAGTCAGGGGTCAAAATTTTCCCTTTTTTTCTGGAGAAGAAAGTTCCGCCCCCCCCTCCTCTTTTAAGGCCCCTCCCCGGGTATCTGAGTCTAACAATCGTTTTATCCGCTCACACATTGTTCTCATATTCTTGGAATAAACGCTGCCTCATGTACGGTTGAATCCAAGACAGTCGTGGATACTGGATTCCATTCTGTGGATTCGCCGAATTCCAGATAATCGGGAGCCCATAAGTTATGGGCTCCTGAGATAATGGATCCCGGATTCCAATCGATAGCAGAATTCCGGAGTCCTTGAGCTGAATTCCAGACTCCAAAGCCCAAGATTTTGGATTTTCCTGATAGCCGGAATCCGGAGCGCAGTGGAGAAGGGCCTGGCTCGAGCTTGCAAAAACTTGAGCCCGCGCTACTAAATTTGCTTGTCTTTGCGCGGTTTCCAAGCAACATTAAAAATCAAGATGGACGAAGAAGCTGTTGGAGCGACAGACAATATTGTGACAGAATTTGCTACATATGAAGACTTTCTTGACAGTCAAATAACTCCACTAGATCTCTACTACCTTGAGGTATTGTTGGTCTTAATTTTAACTTGTTTCTTACTCGAATTAACCATATATCTCTTCTTAGAGCGAACGTTGTAAAACCATGAAATCTAGTTTTCTATCCTTCTCTAGCGTAGAATATAGGGGATCGACTCATCGACTTCTACAACATCTAATTGTTTCAAGTTTCGAAAAAGATAATAGGTGATAAAAAAACAAAAAACACTGTTAAACTCAAGCTAGACACGAGCAGAGGCCCTTCGATCTTCATAGATATTGAGGTATTTATTAAATATGCTGTATATATGCAGAAAAAAGGCCTCCTTTATTACTAATCAGCCAAACGCCACAAAAATATAAACATACAGAGATCTAGTTGTTTTATTTTTGGCTAATAATAGGCTAAACTTTGAACTCTCGGCCACTTTATACAACATGGATATATACACTGTACATGCATCTTAAAACCCCAACATAAACATCTTAACAACTGCTCCTGCGGTCACCAAAAAAAGAAGAAGTACAATCTGAATATATCATTTTGTTGATGGTCAGTCCACTATTCTAAGCTACGTTCTCTGGTTGAAAACAGTTATATTATGTTAAGTCAACCAAAACATGACTATCTGACTGTGAGTCAGAAAATTTCCCAATGTACACTGTACCAAAGAAGTAAGTTAATTTTCCCTTCTTTCTAGTGCCTTGGACGATTTGTATTTATTTATGTTTATAGGATGAAGAACTGGCTAGACAACTTGTTGAGCTGGGCTACAGAGGAAGTGGAGAGGTTAGTAAATTCAGATCTCATATCATACTGTGTATGTAATATTGCTGGATAGAATAGACCCCCAGAAGTGTAAGCAGGCATGACAATGTAGGATGAACTTTAATTTACAAAGAAACAGTCCAGAAGAGGATGTGTTTTTAAAGAAAATAGAAGGAAAGAAAATATATGAGAATTTTGTGGAGACATTGGAAACTCTCCGTAATAGAAAGGTGTCTTTACGGAG